TCATCCTGGCAGGGGGATCCAGATGGATACCACAGCAGGAAGTCCAGGAGATCCAACAGAGCCTCAGTGTCTCCATTCATTGCCCAATGTGTCATTCAGCAGGGGGATCAAGGCAGTTTTCATTCCAAAGCAGAATGGATCTAAACTAGGGAATTTGCTATCTGAAGATGTCGTGATGGACACAAACTTGGGGAACCAGAGGACCAGACAAATTCATGGAGGATAAGCTGAGCAGCGGTTAAGTAGTCATGAAGGCTTTATCCTGATTGGTACCCAGCATCAGAGGCAGCATGCCTCTCAAGACCAGTTGCTGAGAAATTGTTGCCATTGGAGTCATGTCTTCTTTGTAAGGTTCCCACAACTATCTGGTTGCCATGGTGGGAACAGAATGCTGCACCAGGTTGGTCTTTCACCTGCTCCAGCCTGGCTCCTCTTATGTTCTTATATTCCTAAAAAACACATTTCATAACAGCCTGAAGTTGAGATGGGTGAGATGAGATTTGACCTCTTACAAAATACTGTACTTCCTTACATCTTTATGTGTGCTGAGGTGAGAATGTACCTCACGATTAAGCAAAAGCACAGATATAAAATTTGGCAAATGCTTATCTAAAGTTGTCACAAATGTCTCAATCATGAAGAGTAATGAAGATACAGAGGACAAATAAATCACTTCTCCATGCTGGACTAAGAGACCGAAAATTTTTCTGTTGTATGTGAAATGCTGCCCTGTGGGAAATTCCTAAATAGATGCTCTCTCTGATTTCTTTTCCAGGGCTCATTGGTCTGTTGTCTTCACACCATTTGCTCATTAAGACTTGATATTCAATAAGTAAAAGAAAGCATCTTATTTATCTGATGCAATAAGGAAAAAAAATACAGTTAGTGGAAAGGACTGGGGTTGGGGGGATTATATCTGAAACCTCCCACTTTCTCAACTTCCCTCACCCAAATTTGTCAACCGTGAATAACAGGTCTAAAAATAAATGTATTTTGCTCCACCGGCCGATATCCTCCTTCTGGGAAAGACTGATTGTCTTTCAATTAGCAGGTTTCATTAAGTCTGTAGAAGTTGTGTGAATGACGCAGACTGGTAGAACAAGCGATTACAGGAACTCCCAGGTGCTAGGACAAGGCAACTAATCAGGAGCTAGCCAAGAGAACATGTTGTTCAAAATCGCATGAGTGGAGGAACAAGGTGGGGTGAGGGAATAAGAGTTCTTCAAAGCAAAAGGCACTGCTGGTCACTGAAGAGGCTTTCTGATTTAACATTAACAAACAGATCCAGATTTGCTTGCAGGACAACTCCAGATATGGAGGAGACATGGTCAGTCATGGGGACCCATAAACCAGGAACCCCAGTAGGTCCTCTTCCTTGTGAATCTACCTTCTCACCAGTGTTATCACCAACTGTTAATGCTCCTCAGCCCCTTTCTCTTCCTAGCTACCTCCTGCTTGCTTGACAGGAAGAAAACCAGTGAGAAATAAGATGGAAATGCCTTCTTCTCCTTCTTCTTGGCACCCGAGAGTGCCTGGGTCAGAGACAGAAGCAGGGGTTGCAATGGTGGGAAAGAGAGACAAATTCCTGCAGAGGTCAAGGAACAAAGGTTCAATCTGGATGCCAGGAAGTACTTCCTGACAGTTGGGACCCCGAGGGTGTGGAATGGGCTCCCATGGGAGGTGGCAGTGGTGAGGGTGTTCAAAGATAAGCTGGGCATGTACATGGTAGGCATGTCATAAGTGGAGCTGGCTGGAGCCAGGGGTCAGACTAGATGGCCCAGGAGACCCCTTCTGACTTGCTCTGTTTCTAGGGATTCTTGCTAGGATGCCTGCTGGAATGTGGGGGCTTAAACACAATTATCCTTGATGCTGGTCCTGTCTGAACAGATCAGAAAAGCCCTTAGTTTCATGCAGTGAGATTCATCAGCATCTTGAGGCACAGTCCTTGCCATAGAACCTCCTGAGGAGAGGACTGTTCCCAGCAGAAGGACAAGTTGGTGGAATAGCTCTGTCGCTCTTGGTGTCAAACTGCATCACCTGTAAACCTAGGTGCTGATTAGGGAAGGAAATGAAGATGGTATGGTAGGCTTCAAACACATAGACACATTACAATTAATTTGAATACATTAATGTGCATTAAAATAAAATAACTCTGAGATAAACCCCTTGAGGGACCTAGGAGTATGCAAGCCAAGTTTCAGCAGCCAGACCCAAATGTAGGGGAGCAGTCCCATTGCCTCTTTCTGTACCTCTGTTCTCCCCCCCCCCATGCCACCCCCATTTGCTTCTCTCATTCCACTGCCCAGCTCAGCAGGCTGCCAGGAGAGGGACAGATTGTTCTTGCTGGGGTCTGAATTGATTGCACTCAGCAGTCTTTTCAAATTAGGCGTAGGGGAGCTCAAAAATGGACCGCAGCTCTGCCTGCAGGTTGCTAACTCTTGCAGTGGTAAAAACAAAACACAAAAATAAAGTACCAGTTTTAAGGCTGAACGACTATATGGAGGGACTGCAGGTGGCGCAGTGGTTTAAACCGCAGTGCTGCTGGGTGGTTGATGGAAAGGTCGCCAGTTCTAATCTGCACAATGGGGTGAGTTCCCATTGCTCCGTCCCAGTTCCTGCCAACCTTGCAGTTCGAAAGCATGCAGATGCAAGTAGATAAAAAGGTGCCACTTCGGTGGGCAGGTAGCAGTGTTCCGTGCACTTTGGTGTTCAGTCATGCCGGCCACATGACCACGGAGACTGTCTGTGGACAAACGCTGGCTCCCTTGGCTAGGAAACAGAGATGAGCACCACCCCCTAGAGTCAGGCTTGACTGGTCGTAACATCAAGGGGAAACATTTACCTTTACTATATGGAACTGAAAAGACTTACTGATCACCTCTTAACATCCAGATTTGCCAAGATGTACTCGCACCCTGATGCACCCTGAGGCACTCTTGTCCCTGAAATGGATCCAGAACTTACCAGGATCCATTGGATGTCTGGATGTCCATTCTGTTTAACCTTCTGTGCCAAGAGAAGATAAACTTCCACCGCAAAATGTCCGTCAAGTGTCCCCTTTGTGTTTGACTGACCAGGAGTGGTTCTCAGTTCTTCCTGGCAGCCAACATGGTGTTCTTTTGACTCATAACTTTGCTGAGGGCATTGGCTTTCTAAAACTGGCAATGCATTTGAATTGTCACATCTTCTCACTCTGTGGGATGGTTTTAAATGCTAATTGTCCACAGTATGACATGGTTACATTAACTGCCTTAGGAAAACATTTGCATCTATCAGATTACTTGGTACTAAACCAAGCCCTTCTCATTCTTCCCAAATCCATCCAGTGAACCACTGATTCTGAAGTTCATTATGCACCCAGATCACTTGGGGCTGCCTGGAGCATGACGGGAGTTTCTTCCCCATGTCCAGATTCATGTCAGTTTGGTCAGAATTGTAGAAAGGACCATGGCCAGGACTGCAAACTCAGCAGAAAGAGGGGGTAATGCAGTGGCAAGGGGCTTGAAGCAGTGGAACAGAAATAACAGCATGGGTGAATTTAGTGCGTTCCAATGCATAAATACCCTCTTTTCCTTTAGAAAGCTTGGATATTACCCATCACCTAAGTTAGGATAGGAAGTATGTTTAAATATTCCCCCGAAGAAAACATTTCCTGCAATGTTTGTGGTTTCTTTTTCTTTTGGAGGGAGCTTTTATGCAGGGGAGGTATTTAAAGATGCGTCTTCCCACCTGTAGCCTGACATGGTGCCGTTCCTGCCAGCCAGCTCAGGAGTCTACTGTCCTACCCCTACATAGACCAGCCCCAAGGAATCGCCTTGGTTGAGGCCAGAACTGCACTGGGAGCATTCCAGAACAATATATGCTCAGAGACCCTTGAGGCCCCTGAAGGAATGCTGTTGCTCAGCACTTAACTATTCCATCTGGCAGGCTGTGTAACTTTTGTTAATTGGCCTGGCCAGGTGCACATGCTACGAGCTTGCCTTTTGCATGTCACCGGTCACAAAGCAGTACCACACATTAGCTCTCCTGCTCCAACCTCAGCAAATCTGCAGGTTTTTCGCATGCAGCAGAATGAGGCTGCAATGAGGTGACCAAGGGCCCTGGGAAGGGACTTCCCTGCCACCCATTGTAGACTGTGCCTGTCCCAGGAGGTAAGGATGGGTGGAATGGTTGATAGTGCAAACCAAGAATTCTGCAAAGAATAGTGGGAACAAAGCCTTCCCATCCTTGGAGCAATGCACTTTTTGTCATGTGTAAACTTTTCTTATCTTGAATAAGAATCCAGTCACTTGCAATTAACTCTCATCAACTTCATTCATGTGGATTTCCCCCAACTTTGTGGGAAGAATTCCTTGGTATTTACGCTAAGTGGAAACAGAGTATCATGGGGTCCTTCAACCATCTGAAGTGTTTGCCAACCAAATGGAGTCCAAATGGAAAGCAAATGTTTATTCAAACCCAAACTTACATCTGTGTTCAGAAGTGTACATGAATTTCCACTGAACTATGAACCCACCTATGCAACAGCTCTATATAAATCAGAAAATTTGAAACGCTTCTTTACTGTCACAGTGGAACAGAAAGGTAAGTTACACTCAGAAATTATGACATGACTTAAATTCGCATTTCCCTTTCGGCTTGACCATCAGAAACTTTTACTGTTTTATTTTATTTTTATACTGCCCAATAGCTGAGGTTCTTCACTGTTGAGAGATTTCTGTTCAGCAACTTAAACTGACATGATTCCAGTTAGTATTTTTGATGTTGGTATTGAATAGTATGATATTTTAACTTCATTTCTTTCCCCATGGACATTATGCCCAAGATGAGCATAATAAGAGCAACTGCCCTTCAACAAGCAAAACAAAGCCATATTTAACATTTGGAATGTCACTACTAAGAACCAACTAGATTCAATGTATTTTGATGGGCAATCTGATTCATTTCATTCCAGGGATAATCCTGTCCCTCTTAAATGCATTTTTTGTGTACAGCGAGTCAGAAATGAGGCCCTTGCAGAAATTGCTTCTTGTAGTTGCAACAGTCGCTGTGTTTTGCCTGCCCTGCCTTGGAGAAGAGAAATGTGCCGGAGTTCCGGGAATCCCCGGGACCCCAGGGGCGAACGGCTTGCCTGGAAGAGATGGACGGGACGGCATGAAAGGGGACCCAGGACCTCCAGGTATTCCTTCAATATACAGTGGTGCGAAACTTCTAATAAGCTCCAGGATCAAGAACTGCTGGAACTGAACTAGTGTTGAGCCTTCTCAAAGTGCCAGATTGGGAATTGGTTCCTGCCATTGCTTGAACCATGGAGGCAGAGGAAAGCAAGCATCCTTCTCCTTTGTGATGGGCTGCTTGGATGCTAACTTTTAAAATTCATAGGGGCATGAATTAGATAAAAATGTGGTATGAGTAGAGCTTGTGGGTTCTATTAGGCCTGTTTACCTGATACACCGTGAGTAACCCAGCAAGATGAATGCCGTCCACCAGCCTTGGACTACAGCTACCATAGGTCTGGTACTCTCCCTGAGCTGGCTGCTTGCTTGGAACTACCAAAAACAGGGAAGCTACCAAACCCATGCCAGGCCACATGGCAGAGCTGGTCGTCCTTGTTCGGATGGCGGGTCACAGATTGTCTTGTCAGGACCTGCAGTTGTCAGTAAGCTGTGATCCTTGTTGAACTACAATATGGTGGTGTTTACACTGCATTTATATCTGGCTCTTTTGAAGCCTGCAATGGACCCAAGTCCTCCTCCACTCCGATTCACCATCACAACAAAAATATGTGAGGTGGGTTAGCCGAAAGGAAGTGACTGGCCCAACTCAGTGAGCTTCATCCAAGTGAGTACTAGAACTTGGATCTCCCAGGGCTCCAGCCCATCATTCTAACCACCACCCAAGGCCAGTAGGGTTGGACCAGTTCTAGCTACACCCCTACCTTGTTCACAGATAGATCTTTTTCTGATTTCATTCCACAAAACTCCAAGTGTGCAAGACACCTGCTTAGACTGGAACTGCTGCACACTTGGCAGGAAGGTCTAAAGCCCCACACATGCCTGGGGGATCTTCACTTTAAAAAAACACTTAATTTAAGAGGAGGATTTCTAGGACCAAACCAGAAATGCCTGGTAGCAGCTGTAAGACTTGCAATCTGCAACTCTTCTTGCTGTATAAGGAACCTGATCTGAAAAGGGTCATGCACACTTACTCCAGATTTTATTTACACACACACACACACACATACACACACTTTGGTTATGCCCAATGCACATAACACCATAAAATGCCAGTTGTAGAAGCATGTTGGCTGTGCCAAAACAGGATACAAATGAACATTCTTCAACTTTTCCAGTGCAGCTCACACAAGCATTTCTTTTTCACTGGCATCTTTCCCCATACATCGACATTTTATCTGAGAATTAAGCTAGAATTCTCCAGGAGTGAACCTTTATGTGTTACATGATATGTGAGTGTGAGAAGGAATTCTGGAGGACTGAGTGTTTGCAGCCACCAGTAGGAAGCTTGGTGGCTGCAATTTATGAGCCTGGGGAGTATGGATTGAAAGAATTAAAGTACCTAGAAAAATGGGAAGGGAAGAAGAAACTGGGTATTTGAACAGATGAAGTATCCATGGCAGTTTCATTAAGAGATTGCTCTGGGTGCTTCCAGACAGACAGTTGCTTGCACTACTGATCCAAGGGCAACCATACTGTCTTTTTTTCCTTCATTTACTTTTGGTTGGTAAGAAATACGATGGAAAACATAGGAGGGTTACAGTGGAAGGTGATATGTGAGCCACTTGCAAAATTTCTCTGGTACAATGTTGCAGTATTTTGTAGAACTATAGAACTGAACTTCATGAGCAAGAATAGAAAGGTGCTTTGGAAGTCATCATCAGTTGCTTGTTTCATGCGCCCAAAATAAGTAAGAAGCAGAAGTGCCCAGTGGTGTGACTAATTGATGCTGACACACTAAATGTGTTGGCTGTCGTGTATTCCTGTTTTGAAGTCAGCTGAGAAGTTTTCTACCATTTCAGTGTGTAGAGTACACTCAGATGTTTGCTCCTGCCCCATTCCCTTGAGAGGAAGGTTTGTTTCTGGTGCACAATTCCAAAGATTCTGATTTACAATGTAAGTTATTCAGGGTTGCTATGTAATCCACTCGCTTGAAGGTCACTCCGAACTTCTCCGAGAGTGTAGCATTGAAAAGAGTGTTCCGAATTCTGTATTCTCCCATTTCCTTCTAGGTCCTATGGGCCCCCCTAATGGCCTACCAGGTGCTCCTGGAAGAGATGGACTTCCTGGTCCAGAAGGACCCAAAGGTGCCCCAGGAGAGAAAGGAGAGAGGGGGCCGCCTGGCCCAGAAGGTGAGACTACTCAGCTGCCGTGTAGTTCAGCCCAGGGAGCAGCTTCTTTGCATGTCATTTACCCACCACTGAGGAAAGCATCCAGGCAGCAAGTTAGAAACATAGAAACAGAGTGAGTCAGAAGGGGGCCTCACGGGCCATCTAGTCTGACCCCCGGCTCCAGCCGGCTCAGCTCATGACATGCCCACCATGTGCATGTCCAGCCTATCTTTGAACACCCTCACCGTTTTCGCCATGCAAATTGTTCTCTTTTCTTTTTTCACTTTCAACAATGGCCACTAGCATAGACAGCCTTCTAATCACATATACATATACATATATATGTTACTAATATTATATCATTGGCACTCAGCACTGATTCAGTTACCTCACATTGCATCAGAGATACAGTCTGAGCATTATAGAGGGAACCTTCTAGCAAAAAACAAAAAAAGAGAAAGGTGTGCTTTAATTTTGATACTCTGGGAATAAATGCTACTCCAGAGGTGATCTTTCCCAATAGTTACTGCTGAAGGCCAAACAGTGGGCAAATATTTTTAGTAGAAATGTGGGATATAGAAAAAAACAAACTCCCTATCAGAAACAAAACATGAACAAATTTACACCGAAGAACAGTTCAGCTCAATCCTTTTTTTGACTATGCACAGGCCTTGCTGCATTTCTTGATCCTGAATTCCAGGAGGCCCTCAAACATCTGCAGCAAAGGATCGCACGTCTTGAAGGAGGTAAGCTCTCTGCTTTTACTCTCCATGGAGGTGCAGTCTTCCCAGCCTTCAAAGCCCTTTGGCTATGTGTTGTACCTTGAAACATGAAGGAGAGAGGCCGGGATCACCAGGTTGCTTCATAATGTGGCTGTTCCTGTCTAGGTCCCCTTTGCCCCCCAGAACTCCCCCAGAGCCCTTCCCAAGGTTGCATTTGCAACCTCGGAGCAGCAGGGGGGTAGCACAGATCTTTCCATGGCAGCTTTGAGGAGGGAGGAGGCCTTCCAAGGGAGAATCTCCACTGTCAGAAACAGGATCCTGAAATATCCTGCAACTGTCCAGACGCTTTTCAGCAGCCTCATGGCAAGTGTACGTATAGAATCATCCTGAGTGTTGCTAGGAGTGCCCAGATGGTAGAAAAAGAGATGGTAGAAGTGGTAGAAAAGCATGGGAGTCCTACAGATTGAAGGTGATGTCTGTCCCCTCGTAAAATTCCACAAAAGAGGCACGGTAGTGGAGAGCTAAAAGCCTCATCATCTTGTTTGGAGAGCTTTCCCTGCAGACAAAGGGGGTTGCAAATGGTTTGAAGGAGGCCTCCCTTACCATGGCGACCATACATTGTGATCTCTCTGGTCCCTCCAGTCAGACGGGCTTTGCAGCCTTTCAAACCATGCAAAAACCTGTTGAGTAAATGTAAAAGTAAGAAGAAACAAGCAGCAATTATTGCCTGTCTCCATGATATTTTTTGAATGGAAGTATGACAAATACGTATTTTTTAACCAAATAACACTTGCAACATAAAACTTTCAAAAGGAAAGAGCATTTCCTTTTAATCACATGGTATCTTATAGGAATTTATCCTTCTGAAATAAGGAAACATCCCATGTTTGGGAGAATTGTGATGCAACACGCAAGGGATCTGTGAAGGCCTTGAGCTTTCTGAAAGCTGATCAGAACAGAACTGGTCCACATGTCTCAAGCTAATGCACGCATGAGAATTTAGCTAGTATTCCCCGGGATTTCAACACAGTCCATATCGAAATATACCTTGACGCTCTGAAAGAAAGTATACTTAAAAGAAAAACTCGCAGAGCAATGCAGAAATGTGATGGAACCGATTTATGGGTGACATGACATTTATCTGAATGTGACTTGGATCAGAAATGGATGAATGCACAGTTTCCTGGCTTTCACATTGCATTTCTATCAGTTGATGGCTTCAAAACCAAAAAATACTATGTGCTAATCTCAGTTCTAGTAATGCAACACAGATAACCATGTGTTTTCTTTTTTGGCAGTTCTCCTTTTGAAAGGACTGATAAGTAAAGCAGAGAGCAAAATATTTGCTACTGATACAAATGCAGTTAATTTTCAAACCACGCTCCAAACTTGTCAGAATTCTGGAGGATCCATTGCAAAACCCATGAACCAAAAGGAGAATGATGCTGTCTGGGCAATTGTGAAGGAGAACAACCAGTATGCCTACCTGGGAATTCAGGAAAGTCCAGTGCCAGGGCAGTTTGAGTATCTGGATGGGATGGCTGTGAATTATACAAACTGGCGTCAGTATGAGCCCAATGGCAACGGAGCAGAAAACTGTGTTGAGATGCACACCGATGGGCTTTGGAATGACAAGAATTGTAACCAGTATCGTCTCACTGTCTGTGAATTTTAAGCACATCTCTCCAAATGCACAGCCAAATGGAAACCATGTAACCACTGTGGCCTTTGGGAATTGTTCTCCGAAGGGACCCAGGATATTTGTCCGAAACATCTCTCTTGTTCCCAGGGGTTCTGAGAGTAGCGATGGAAACACAGCAGAATCTGTTTCTTATCTCCTGTAATGGGCAGAATCCTAGCTGTAAATTGAAGAAGAAAATAATTTCTAGGGTTCTCGATAATTATAATAGATTTAAATGATGTTGTGTGGATTATTACAGCTACATCCGCCTGCTGCATTAAAATTAATTAACCCAGTTGGTATGATTAAATTTGTTCAACATTAGAGTTAAAACTATGCAGAAATGTGAATCTCGTGTGAATATTCAAGTATTATGAAAGGGAATGTGAAGCTATGGGCAGCTCTTTGTGATTCCTGCATGAATTTTGGCTTTTAGAATAATGGTCTGTTTGGCAATATTCCAGCGTCAATCACAAAGAAATAACCTCTGAATGTAAATGCTGACATTTCAGTGAAATATCCTATCTCTGCTAGACAAAAGAAGTGTTGAGCAGGACTCAGTTATGCCCATGCACTGTAGACAGGTGAGTTTCAACAAACCATGGTATACAAGGGACTGACAGACCATAGCCACGGAAACCCTTTGACTGGCGGTTACACAACCCCTGCCTAAGCTGCATCCTGCATCAACATTGTTAGAAGGGCTAGAGAGCCAAACCATGTAATCTCTGGACTCCAGTCTGGAGCTGAGAAAGGGTTAGCAAGCCAGGAAGAAGGCTATGCCCTAAGATGCTAACTTTCTCCATGCAGGGAGTTGTATTTCTTTCTTTTTTTTAATTTAAAACTTTTTTAGATCATCCCTTACCATAGTCTCAGGATGGTTTAACAGTAAGAGAAAAATAAAGTAAAATGGCATCCTATTCGAATTCTTAACCAGTCAACAATAAAATCCATATGAAAACGTCATATCTTAAAACATTGGGAAAATAAAAAGTTTTATCCTGCTGCAAAGAATAAAATGACAGCACCAGGCGAACCACTCTGGGGAGCGCGTTCCACAGTTGGGGTGCCACCACAGAGAAGGCCCTCCTCCAGATAGTCACCCTCCTAATCTCCAAGGAGGGCTCCTGGAGAAGGGCCTCTGCCCCAGGCCTTATGGGGCAGGCAGGCACCTATGGAAGGAAACGCTTCTTTATTTTTAACATGATGAATGTACTTAACGATGTGATTCTCCCACCTTCATCCTGACTTGGTGCACTTGATTTCGTTCCTTGAATCCGCTCCTTGGACTGAAGTGGCCCAAAGAGTTGTAGCTTTCTTGTTGTTCACTCTATGTGTAATGGCACCTTTGAAGGTGACAGCCCTAGTCTTAGACAATCATATGTGCAAGTGGGAAGGATGGTGTACAGATACAACTGGAGATGTGTTGAAAGAGTTTCCCTGCAGCTGATCACCACTTCTCAATGCAGGTGGTGAAATCACGCAATTAAATACTTCCCCTGTGATTAATAATAATACCAAGAGAACTCCCCTAATGCACAGCCAACAATTGCCTTGGACTGTAGCTGAGAATAGCAAGTGACTGATCCAGTCTACTCCTTTTTATCTTTCCATTAGCCTGTGAATGGGCTGCTGGCATTAACTTCACTCCTCATTATGGGATTGACTTTGAGGACTTGGCCACCAATGCTAACAGTGCATAAACAGTGCACATGAACCCAATGACAGGTGCATGCTTCTTTATTCTGCAAATAACAATGATTATAATGCATGCTAAAGAAGTCGAAGGCAGAATAAGAAAAGGAAGGCCAGCTATGACATGGGTTGATTCCATGAAAGAAGCCACATCCTTCTTTCGAGCAGGGCTTTCAAGGACAGGATATCTTGGAGGGTGCTCATTGCAAGGGTTGCCATAAGTCAGAGACAACTTGACAGCACTTAGCCACAAATTTATATAGCACTTCAACACATTTAAACCATTTTGAAAATATTATCTCTGTAATCCTTATAACTGTATGAGGTAGATCTGTGTTTTTATCACCTCATATGGCTGTTACTGAGAAAGAGCAACTTGCCAGAGGCCTTCTAGGGCTTAGTTACATTTTGAAGCAAAGGCTTTTGGGCTCACAGTTCACATGCTTAGACATGGCACAACGCTGGAGTACCTTAAGTAGGACTGGGACAATTCATGCACTTCACCCGAATCCATCCCTTCAGCATTCACACACTTCTGCTTGTGCTTGGCCTGGTCTTGCAAAGCGAGCTGAGCTGAGAGAAACCCCACAAATGTTTGTAGAATGAAGGTCCAACAACTGGCAACCTCCTTCCAGGTCATGATAGAAGCACAAACAAGGATGTTGTATGTGGTATGAAAGAGGAAACCTACTTGTGCAGTGTGTTGGGCTTGATCCATGTCAGGTTTCCCACATACATGAGGCATGTTCCCCAGCAAGTTGGATTCAGGGCTGCAAGAAAGTGGACCGGAGTCCAGGAAGCTGAGCTCAAGGAATCCAGCGGGTTCCCAGCCACATCGCAAAATCCTCAACATCCCTAACCTAAGCAGCCATAAATATCAAGGCAACCAGTCGATGGACATGGAGAGCCAAATGCTTCCTGATACAAACAGACCACTGCTATGCAAATGGATATTCAAAATATTCAAAAGTGATATAGGGCATGAAGAAGCAGAAGCTAAGTTCCCAGGGGAAAGGTCTGCCCCCTATACCTGCCTCAGTGGTCGAAAAGAATCATGGTGTAGGTGTAACTGTGGCACTTCCCTGGTTGCTCCCACACCACTCCCACCTAGGGCTGGGGTTGTTAGCAAGGCACCTCATGAAGGGCAGAGACGGAAAAGAGCTGGAATGGTGTGGGAGCCACCATCAAGGTCTGACAGCAGTGCGGCTGCCTCTGAGGATCTTACTGGCCAGAGTGCTGGTCAAAACATCTCAGGTAGCTACAGCGTTAGGTGTAGAACTGGAGGTTCAAAGGGCATCTTTCCACATCATCCCCATCATCCATCCAGAGAGCATCATGATGCGATTGGGAGCAGCCCCACCTCAAATGCCGTGCAGCTTGCTGGCTCCACTCACAAAGTCTCCATGTTGTGCCCAGGGCCTGAGAGGGAGAGATGACATACATACATCAGTAGACACACAGGGCCTCCATATGAGCTGGAGTGAAAGGCTCACAAAATGATATGACCAAGTAATTTCAGTTCAGGTAATCCGACATCCTTTTACATCAACTACCTTACTTCAATGGCACTTAAGAACCACCTCTATATACTATTTTCCAGATGTGTCAGACTACAATTCCCACCATCCCTAAATTAGCAAACCCTTTGCAACAAAGCCTCCTTAGGGCAGAAAGGTGCAGTTCCTGAGCATTCTGCATTAGAGCTGAAGTGCATAATGCTAATTATCCACTTATCTTAAACAGTCATCAAGTATTTTCAGTGGAGAGTTTGCGGGTCAAGATCTTCCTTGCATTTGAAGAGTTTCTGGGACCATATATATATGGTCCCAGAAACTCATATCTGGTGGGCCTGAACCCCACCAGATCCTACTCCCCCATGTAATGAGTCCTGAAATTTTTTATTCCACTTTCCCATTGTTAAAAGCAGTTCTTGTGGCAGCTCACAGCAATGTGTGGCTATTTTGCACAAGAATGGGTTCTAAAACTATTATTTAAATATGGTTTTCATGCAGATTTCCCCCCTTTTAAGATTGCAGATTCTTCTAGAAACTGGACAAAATGAATTTCTGAATTAACAAGTGCAGAACTGCTACAGACCAGAAATAGGCAGTTCTATCCAAGCTTAGGCTTCCATGGCTAAATATAAACCCGTTATATGCTGGACTTCGAGTGATACTCCATTTCAGTGCAAGATTGATTGATTGATTGCCAATTAAGCCACTTCACATCTGCAAGGGTCCTCAAGGCGGATGGTGCCCAAAGGCCTCGTGTCGATGCAAAGGATGGATTCTTTGGCCAAGAAGGTTGCCTTGGGCATCAGGGAACATCCTGTTCTTCTGCAGTGCTTGTTGTACAGCAAGTGTCTCAGCTTACTAATCATCTTTTTATTCCATCCATCAATGTACATGTGAGGGTATGTGGGTAAATAATACATACAAAGGATGTGTATTTTCCATGGAGTTGTACAGAGAACAACTTGTTGCTTGAGGTTATATGAACTATGTCAGCATTTGGATCTGTTTTCCCACTGTGACATCGCAAATCATAAGAGACACATCATTATTTATGAATTAGATTAAGTTCTATGGAAACCTTATATTTGCAAACAATTCTTGGCAGAAATATTTTTCAAAGGTTGATTGTTCTGTACCCAGACCGGACTATTTTTCTCATTGTTCTAGATGCTATGTCTAAAAAAGAGGGAATCGATTTGACCGTTAGTTGTTCTACCTTTGCGAAATCTTTTATATAACTAAAAAACTATGTAAATAAAATTGACAGAGGGAAACAAAGGAATCAAGTGAAGCCAGCAGCTATATAATATGAATATGCATAATAGCACATACTATAAATAGACCCATTTCTTCTTTCCTCAGTATTGGGTTTGAAGCAAAACGGTAAGTCAAACTCTTCTGTTTAGAAGCTACAGTCTATACCTAAAGCCAAGTTTCCAGGAGTAAGCTCCACTGAATTCAGCAGGACTTAACTTTGCCCTGTACAATTGTGTTGCAAGTGCATATTTAAAGTACTCTGGGGTAAGCTTATTGAATTCAATTATATTTATGCCAATTTACTATTTTATTGTCATATTCCTGCTGTGGTTGTTGATTGTACCCAATCCTGAAATCTGAAAAGAAAAAGGCTGTATTAAAATGTTTTATATGAAGGCATAAAATGTGTAAAATTACAAAAAAATGAGCTATGATTTATATGTTTACTCTTCTTTAGGTTATGACTTCCAATAACCTAAATAATAATATATATTATGTGATAATATTTTACCCATTGGTTAACCCCAAACAAGAAGCCAGGGGTCAGACTAGATGGCCTGGGAACCCCTTCTGAGTTGCTTTGTTTCTAATCAATCATGAAAACTCATGGTTAGTTGTTGGGTTGTGAAGTATGGATTGTTTGGGGTTAACCAGCCATGGTTTACTAGCATGGATGGATGCAGACAACATGATAATCCATGTTTCAACAACAAGCCACAGTTCTACCACAACCTTGAGTGCTGGTCATCATGCTGTTCGAACCCCAGTCACTGCCTCTTCTAAAGAGCGGGGTGGTCTTCCATCCTCAAGGAAGCATCGTTCACTTTCT